CTTCTAAAATGCAAACACATTTTTTAAAAAATGTTTGATGTTATTTATCTCTTTTACCCTTACTTTCCAAAAACAACATATATCTTTAATTATCACTTTTTTATTATATTTCTTTTAATAATTTGTCTTTCCCAATATAAAGAAAAAACTGTTTCAATACATAACTCTCTTCAATCTTCATCATCAAAATCAAATCAATCATCAAGATCTCCACTGGTTTCTTCTCTCCATCGTCGATTTTGATACCTTTTCGCCGGCGCTGATGTCTCCAGTCATATCGAGCAGATGGTGAGGTTTATTGGAAGCTAAAGAAAAAGCCAACGAAATCTCCGTCTCCGCCGAAGAAGTCTGTACACTCTCACTTCTCTCTCTCGATCGCTCGATTGATTTTACTTTCCTATTTCCATGGAATTGGAATCTGATTTCCATAGATTTATTCTAAAAAATCAGAATCGAAGCCAAATTCATCAAAAGAAATGTTCTTGTTGTTGGTCGTAGAAAGTGATTCAAATTTTTGTAGCAAAAAAAAACTATTGTTGTTCTTCATCGTCGCAACCGTCGTTATCCATCCGAGCTCGTTCCCCAACGCCTTGAAGCAAAATTTTGTTTGTTCACCATTACGAACCCATATTTGTTTAGGGATCTTTGTTCCGAATTACGACTCATGTGAATCTCTCGGTTTGGGTTGATTCGTCAAAATTCGCAGAGCGAAAGCTCCTGAGATTGAGAATGAACCAAATCAGGCATAAGCAAAATCGAAGAAGATGATTACCAGATCGATTTCTATTGCTGAACCATCCATTTCGAAGAGAAATATACATCGGAATCTCGAGTGGAAAACTAATTTTGGAACTGCTCCTTCTTCCTCTAATCATTGCGGTTTATGTTGCTCGGGACGAGATTTCTCTAGCGGTAGTGATATGAAGTTAAATGATGCAGTTGATCTGTTAAGTGAAATGGTCAAGTCTCGTCCTTTCCTTTCCATTGTTAGTTTCAGTAGATTATTAAGTAAGAACCAGCCATGTTTTATTTGCTTAGTATGACTTATACCGAAGAGATTGTGGATATGTTGTTGTTGACCATGCAAGTTGGATATATTTATCATGGATGGTTCGTCTTGGATACACCATATTTTGTTTTTAGAAAATCAAAACAAGTTGGATATATTATCATGGATGGTTCATCATGGATACACCATATTTGTTTTTAGAAAACCAAAACAAGAATCACATGCATTTTTCTTTCTAATGGCAGTGAAACTCTTCTCTATCAAGTCATCAAATTGTTGATCTACACAACATTTTCAAGGTTATCACTAAGGCACTTGGAGAATGTTGGGGTCGGATTCCTCTTACCGAAATCAACAATCTCAAAACGGCTAGGTGTGGAGATAAACCGGCGGGCAGATCATTAAATCAACGGTTGGCTTGTTTAAACCGGCGAGTTAATATAAACCGATAATTCGTAAGAGGGGCGGTTTGATGAGATATCCGAGTTAACGACTAACCGACTCAGAGCTATCCGCGAGTAAAGGGAAGTTTCTAGAAAGTCCACAACGGGAGGAATGGAAATCTGGAAGGAAAATGAAGTTTTCCTTATTGTTTTAGGCTTAGCTCTAGCCGACTTAGACTAGTATAAATACACATGTACATCCTCCGCAGAGGAGATCCGAAATTGATGAGTAAAACACTTGTATTCTGAAACAGCTTTCTTAACAACTTAATAAAACCTCTCTTGAGATCTATCGTTTTAGTGGTTTTCCGCAGATGTTTTCAAACCCTATAAAAGTTACTAAGATAACTTCTAATTGTGAGATTCGACTCCCCCAGAAAATACTCGAATCATCATCTCAAATTGACAGTTTTTAACATAATATATTCAAAACGTGTACTGACGGGAGAATACTCAAAGCATCATTGCTTGTTTATGATTTTATGGTCTTATATGAATTTTGAACATTTATGTGAATTTGAATTCAATCTACAGAGGCTAAACAAAAGAGATATAATAGTTTTCTTCATCAACTCTCCATTACAACATTAAATATAAACTTTCGCAAAATACATCATATAATATAATATGTATCATAGACGTTACAATAATTTAGAGAACATTTGATTGGTGAAATGAGAAATAGTCATATTCCACAAATTCTACACATGTCCACGGTAAAGTATTCATTGGTGAACTATCCACGGTGAACTGACCATAAATCACTGACAATAGTGTTAGTTAACATTTAACACTAACCATAAATCACTAACCATAGTGTTAGTTAACATTTAATACTAACCATAAATCACTCGACCATTACTCATAAAACATTCAAAGAAGTGGAAACATTCTTTCCTAATTTCAGACTAACGAGCTATTGCGAATGTGGAAGTATTCTTCCTAGTTTCACATTAATTTGCTTGAAACTTTAGTTGCTTTCTTCTTAAAAGTACCGATCTCCTTTTTTCTTCTCTCATCGTTGCTTGAACACCCTTCAAACCTGACAAAAACCCAGAAGTTAACATATACACTAGAGTGGTCTCGGTGGATAGTCACACGTGGACAATCACTCAAGGACAAACTCACTTATGTTATAGTCTTGTCATCGTCTCCAATCCGAATTGGATCATCGATTCCAATTCGGAGCCACCGTGACTGCCTCAACTGCC